TTTAGGGTTTAGGGTTGAGGGGCGACTTTGGGGTTTAGAGAGCTCTTGGGGTTTGGGGTTTAGAGCTCTTCGTCTTTAGAGCTCAGGGGGTTTAGTTTTGGGGTTTAGAGCTTTTCGCTTCTTGGGTTTAGAGCTTCGGGCTTTGGGCTGTGTGTCTTTGGAGTTCAGGGTTTATAGTTTTAGGGTTTAGAGCTTGTCGTTTCTAGGGTTTAGAGCTTAGTGTTTGGAGCTTTTCTTTTTCGGGTTCAAGGTTTAGGGTTCAGAGCCTTTGCTGTTCGTTACGTTTTTAGGGCTTAAGGCTTAGAGGGTTTCGAGGGTTTCCTCTTTAGGGTCCAGGGTTTCGGCTTTATGGGTTCGAATTTTACGGTTCCTTCACAGGGCTAAGGGCTTAAGGTTCTGAGGGGTGATGCTTACAGTTTACAATAGCTTACGTTACAAGAACTGGCACCTGGATTGACACAAGCCTGAGGCTGTTGGGCCGCGGTTTCTCGCTGCTCTCCTGCCGCAGGCATGGTTTGGGATATGATGGGCGAGCAGGACCTACATCCCTGGACCCTGAACCCAAAACCCCGAAGCCCCATAGCAGCTGTCGTTCGGCGTAGTCGCAGCTGTTCATGCCCATTCGCCGAAGGGCATGTGTACCCATAGGCCCCATAGTAGTTCCTTTTTGGGATTGCCTAATAGGATCCTAAATACAAACCACAAAAAGGAACTACTATGGGGCCTATGGGTACGCTTCCTTTGTGTTGCAGCCTGTTTGACTTAGAAAGTCATGTGGACGAAGTTTGCAGAGCGACGTCGACTGTCAAAGGGTGGGGACTTGGGGCTGACAGTGTTCTTCTGTCGAAAGCTCCCAGAGACTCCAATATCCCTTAATTAAGGAATATACCTAAAATCATATTAGGGATCCAACTATAATTTAAGGTATATTCCTTAATTCAGGGATATTGGAGTCTCGGGCTTAGTGGCAGCGAGGTGCTTGACTTGCTGAATCAGCATGTCCCTGCGCGCCGTTGCAGTCGCAGATGGTGTCCTGCTTCTGTTGAGAACTACTCTGACTGATGGCTCTCTCACTTTGCGCACGGCTCACTTCATCCACATATTAATATTATATGCAAAGTAAGTAGGCAACTATCGGCCCGTCCCTTTGGCAAGCAGTGCTGCTATACCCTGATGCAAGTGAGGGACACAGCAGCGCACATTTCCGGTTGGGCCTTCACCCGCAAAAACCGTTGGTGTCTTTCAGAACTGTTGCAAAGTGTCTTGCACAGACTTGCAATGAACCAGCCATTTTCTTGCGCTGCTGGCAGAGACCATTGAAGCAACCACAAGCATGCAACTCCTTGGTGTCGGTGACACAGCCATACAGTTCTCTCATGGACTGACAATACCTCGGGAGATATTGCAGCCCATGGCATGGATCTCAGCTCGCGTGTGTAGGAATCGCACCACGGCGCGCGGTGCAGAGCCTAGGCGAGTCAATCTCGTTGACTTATACCTCCGCTTCACAGAATCAGCCCTCTCAGAAACCTCAAGCCGAGTGTATCCTGTCACCATACACACAGATTTATGTAGAACCGTTCGCATGCGTACATATATAATTGCACACATGCACGCGAGCATTCATGCATGACTGCCTGCATGTGTACCGACATGCATCACTCCCTCCGTCAATCCATACATACATATACATACGTGCATGCATACACATCTCCGCACTCGTGTTAACAGTTGATTCTGCTACCCATCTTCTTGTTTGTTCAAATCCCCTAAACCCTAAACCCTAAACCCTAAACCCTAAAGAGCACTATAGCTCCTTGGAGGCTCATGTCACT